TTCGATTCCCGCTCTCGGCCAATACCAGTTAAGATTATCTGAACCGGTCCTGGGCCTCCCCTAAGTCGACTCAGCCTCAAATGAGTACCTGGTGCGATGTGTAGTAAACTTCGCCACGAGCGAGACAAAAGCGGCCGGGCGTGGTGCTGGCCACCCACCCCTTCGTGTCGTGCCGGCTTTCATAGGTGCTCGCGAACAGCACTTGCCCCAACAGTCTGTTTTAGCTCTGCGGTGGATATTTGTTTTTGTCTATGCGTGGATGTGCGCACGTGTGTGTGAGGTTGTTATTTTGTCATTTATTGTGGAGAGCGGTGGCGCAGTAGTTAGCGCACTCTTCTATGAATCCGGCCACCCGAGTTCGATTCCCGCTTGCGACCAATAACATCGCTTACAATTATCCGAACTGGGATTGGGCCTCCCCTAGGTCGACTCAGCCTCAAACGAGTACATATCGTGGTGTGTGAACATCAGCACTGGGGAGACAAAGGCGGCCGGGCGTGGTGCTATCCACCCACTCCTTGTGTTCCGTGTCGGCCTTCATAGGTGCTCGCTGACAGCACTTGCCCCAACAGTCTGTTGAGGCTATACGAGGGATCTTTGTCTTTGTGAGTGAGTGAGGTTTTTTTTTCCATCATGAATGCTTTACAGGAATCAAGCAATCCTTGTGACGAGGCTGAGCGTCGCTTCAAGATCGACATTAGCAGTCAAGTCGCGCAACAACCAGGGAAACTACGGCGCCTATAGGTCAAGAGTTGTGCGTGTGTGTGGGGAGCGGTGGCGCAGTGGTTAGCGCGTTGTGCTACGAACCCGGCGACCCATGTTCGATTCCCGCTTACGACCAATAACATCGGAGACGATGATCTAAACCGGTTCTGAGCCTCCCCCCGAGGCCGGCTCAGCCTTAAATGAGTACCTGGTGCGATGTGTAAATATCCCCTCTAGGGAGATAAAGGCGGCCGGGTGTGGTGCTGGTCACATCACGCCCTCGTGTGTCGTGTCGGCCTTCATAGGTGCTCCCTTACAACACTTGCCTTTACAGTCTGTTGAGGCTATACGGAGGATCTTTGTACTTTGTCTTGCATGGCGTGCTGTTATGAGATTTACCCCACAATAAAACAAAGGACCTGCCTGGTTATTTTATGTTATCAAATACTCAACCCTCTCGACTCCACAAGAGTTGTGGATTGAGTGGAGACGTTCCCATACCTGGGCAGTGTGTTTTACACCAGCTCCGATTTGGCAACAGTGGTCTCATTCCGAAACAGCCGAGAGGCATTATCTTTTCATGAGCTGTGTAACGCAGTGTTGAAGCTTCCTGGTCTGTCTCTCCGCACAAAGCTCCGGGTCTTCTAGCCCATAGTCATGCCCTCCCTTCCATATGTTTGCGAAACGTAGGCCACTCTATTCGCACATCTGCGCCGGTTTGAAACATTGAGACTGGCTTGCCTACAATTCATCCTGGGTTTTTAACCAGGCTGGCTTGTGTGAGGATTTCAAAAATCCTTGAAGTATCTGAACACATTCCCATCGGCGAGCTCCTCCGACAGGCAAAGTTGCGTCGACGGAGTCATGTAGCCCGTATGCCAAGCCACTGCATGCCCAAGCAGCTTCGGTTTGGCCGGATAGAGGGGACTAAATGGGTGCAGCACGGGCTAGAGAAGTGATGGAGCTGATGCGGTACAGGAGGACGTGGAGCTGAGTGGACTTGCCGATGACTGGTACCAGCGGTGTCAAGATCGGCCTCTGTGGAGGAGGCTCGTGAAGGACGCTACTGGGCAGTTGGAGGCAGTCGCCCTCCAACAACAACGGAGGGCGGAGGAGCGACGCTCACAACAACGAGCGGAGTCCCAGGCGGATGAAATTTAGCCAGTTGGTACAGTAAGGGGCACAGGTGGTGCATCGGCCACTCATCTCAGGCAGTCAACCTATGGCACCTGGGGTCTGTCCCGTGACCTCCCGCCAGCGAGCCTTCGACGCTTCACGTGGCCTCGGAGTGCACTTAGCCTGGCACAAGCGCCGTGGTGACGTCACCACCAGTTAGTGGTGAACTGCGGTTGTTGTTGTGTGGGGGGGTGATGTGTGTGATGGGGGGGTGTTGGGGGGCGCGGTGGTGTAGTGGTTAGCGCGCTGCGTTACGAACTCGGCGACCCGAGTTCTATTCCCGCTCACGGCCATCAGCATCAGTGACGATTATCTGAACCAGTCTTGGGTCTCCCCTAGGTCGACTCAGCCTCAAACGAGTATCTGGTGCGGTGAGTTAAACATCGTCACTAGGGAGACAAAGGCGGCCGGGCGTGGTGCTGGCCACTCACCCCCTTGTGTGCCGCGCCGGCCTTCATAGGTGCTCGTTAATAGCACTTATCCCCAACAGCCTGTTAAGGCTACACGGAGAACCTTTGTCTTTGTTTATACGTGTATGCGTGGTGGCGGCGGTTAAGTATGTGTGTGTACGGGTATGTGTGTAGGTATGTGTGTGGGTATGTGTGTAGGTACGCGTGCGAGCGTGTGTGTGGGGATGTGTGTAGGTATGTGTGTGGGGATGTGTGTGGGTATGTGTGTAGGTACGCGTGCGAGCGTGTGTGTGTGGGGATGTGTGTAGGTATGTGTGTGGGGATGTGTGTAGGTATGTGTGTAGGTATGTGTGTGGGTATGTGTGTAGGTACGCGTGCGAGCGTGTGTGTGCGCTTCTGATGCCTTCTCAAGTCGTTAAATTGCTACACGTTCCTACTAATGATACTGTCAATCAAATTTTGTCGACGCATTTAATGCAATTTTGAAGACGCGCCTGTACCTGTTCGTGAGTGTGTGTGTCTTTGTTGTGGAGAGGGTTTTGGGTAGCTGTTAGCACGCTGCGCTAGGGACCCGCCCACCCGAATTGGATTCCCGTTCACGGTGACCGTTATCTGAACCGGTCCTGTGTAGACGTCCCCTAGGTCTACTCAGCCTCAAACATCTCCACTGGGGGAGACAAAGGCGGCCGTGCGTGGTGTTGGCCACCCACACCCTCGTGTGCCGTGCCGGCCTTCATAGGTGCTCGCTAACAGCACTTGCCCCTACAGTCTGTTAAGGCTTTACGGGGGATCTTTGTGTGTGAGTGGGTGTGTGTGAGTGGGTGTGTGTGGGTGTGTGAGTGTGTGTGTGTGTGAGTGGGTGTGTGAGTGGGTGTGTGGGTGTGTGTGAGTGGGTGTGTGTGTGTGGGGGTGTGTGAGTGAGTGGGTGTGTGTGAGTGTGTGTGTGTGTGGGTGTGTGTGGGTGGGTGTGTGTGAGTGGGTGTGTGTGGGTGTGTGAGTGGGTGTATGGGTGTTTGTGAGTGGGGTGTGTGTGTGAGTGGGTGTGTGTGTGTGGGTGTGTGTGGGTGTGTGTGTGTGAGTGGGTGTGTGTGGGTGTGTGAGTGGGTGTGTGGGTGTGTGTGAGTGGGTGTGTGTGTGTGGGTGTGTGTGATTGGGTGTGTGTGTGTGTGGGTGTGTGTGTGTGGGTGTGTGTGAGTGGGTGTGTGTGAGTGGGTGTGTGTGGGTGTGTGAGTGGGTGTGTGGGTGTGTGTTGGTGTGTGAGTGGGTGTGTGTGGGTGTGTGTGCGAGTGTGTGAGTGGGTGTGTGTGTGTGGGTGTGTGTGAGTGGGGGTGTGTGAGTGGGTGTGTGTGAGTGTGTGTGGGTGTGTGTGGGTGTGTGAGTGGGTGTGTGTGTGTGGGTGGGTGTGTGTGAGTGGGTGTGTGTGGGTATGTGAGTGGGTGTGTGGGTGTGTGTAAGTGGGTGTGTGTGTGTGTTGGTGTTTATGAGTGGGTGTGTGTGTGTGGGGGTGTGTGAGTGGGTGTGTGTGAGTGGGTGTGTGTGAGTGGGTGTGTGCAGCGGTTCGCGTACTGCGCTACGAACCTGACGACCCGGGTTCCATTCCCACTCACGGATAACACCGGTGACGATTATCTGGGACCGTCATTGGTTTTCTCCTAGCTCTACTCAGCCTCAAATGAGTACCGGGTGCGGTGTGTAAACACCGCCACTGGAGAGACAAAGGCGGCCGGTGCGTGGTGCTTGCCACCCGCCCCCTCGTGGTGCCGTGTCGGCCTTTATACGTGCTCGCTAACAGCACTTGCCCCAGCAGTCTGTTCAGGCTATAAGGGGGATCTTTGCCTATTGTGTGTGTGTGTGAGCGTGGGTGTATGTGTGTGTGTGTGAGCGTGCCTGTCTCGTTACGCTGGCGGAAGATTGCATTAAAATTCATCCGCTACCGCTTCTCATGTTCACGTCTCTCACTCGCACACACACAGACTCACACACTCACACACAACAAGACAAAGATCCCCCGTATAGCCTGAATAGACTATCGGGGCAAGTGCTGTTAGCGAGCACCTATGAAGGTCGGCACGGCACACGAGAGGGTGGGCGGCCAGCACCACCCCCGGCCGCCTTTGCCTCCCCTGTGGCGCACCAGGTACTCATTTGAGGCTGAGTCGACCGAGGGGAGGTCCAGAACCGGTTCACATAATCGTCACTGGTGGTGGCCGTGAGCGGCGCGCTGACCGCTACACCACCGCACACAAAGACAAAGGTTCCCAGTATAGCCTTGACAGACTGTTAACACACTCACGCGCTCACTCAAGCACTCACTCACAAAGTCATTCTCAGGGGTAATTTTCAGGTGATTTCTCAGCTTCGTGAATGTCGTGTTTTTCTGACAGCAGTTCCACTATGTGTGGGGGTTTAGCTACGGCAGGAGGAAACCGCAGAACCCGCAGGAAACCCATGCCGAACAGGGGGGGAGAGAGAGAAGACACACACACACCACAAAGTGAGAGAGGACACACACCACAAAGAGAGGGGAGAACGCCTCCCATCGGCGTTCGGGATGACGAGGCCCCTCTCGGTCCCCCTCCACCGGAGCTCTCCGTCGTGCCGCTGCATCGCTAATGCCAACAAACGAAGGCGGATCACGACCTGTGCCGGCTGGAAGACCTACCGGAGGTGGCCTTCGCAAATGTAAAGAGGAAGGTGCTCTACTCCTACATGGTCCAGTTTCACCAACAGGACACCCTGAGGAGCCACAAGGACCATGCCTGGAGGAAAGCCCTGCTACCCTGCGTCTCTCCGGAGAGGCCTCGCTGGAGGCAACTCTACTCCAGCCCGACGTACAACCGCATCGGTGACCTCAGCTGGAGCATCGCCCACGGCACCGTCACCACCAACGCCTCCCTGGCGCGCTTCACCGACACGTCCCCGGAGTGCCGGTTCTGCGGTAAAGTGGAGATGGTGACGCACCAATACGTGGAGTGCAAGAGCCTGGACTCGCTGTGCAAGGTCCTGAAAAAAATCCTCCTAAGGTTCAGTCTCCACTTCTCCCCGATGGTCCTCATCTTTGAATATCCGAAGGGTGACGGATCCCAACATCTTCAGGGGCTGGTCAACGTGCTCGTCGGCTACGCCAAGCTCGCCATACACAGGGCGAGGAACGTGGCCGTGGAGGGGAAACGTCCGGCCAGCAGCCTGGGCATCTTCCGCGCTCTGGTCGGAGCTAGGGTGTGTGGGCTGGAGTTCCGCCATGCGCGGCTGACCCACGCCGTGCCGGCCTTCAAGGAGCAGTGGGCGATGGAGGAGGCCGTGTGCTCGGTGTCAGATGATGGGGAGCTCTGCGTGCTGATATGAGCTACCCATCGGAGGCCGTAGGACTGCGAGAAGGGCTGGGTGCAGATGCAGCACTTGTCGTAAAATAATAATAATCATAATAATATTACAAATATTACATAGAAAACATAGGGGCAACATAGACATGGAGTAGGGAGAGAGGGAGTAGAGAGAGGGGGGGGGGGTAGAGAGAGAGGCAAGGGGTAAGGAGAGCAGAGCGTGAAATCTTTAGTCAAATCTTTCATTGAAAAGGAGGGGGGGGGGGAGTTACATAAAGCCAAGCATAAAAAAAACGAAATGATGAACGAAGCAAAGTGCCGACGACACCGAGCATCTTCTTGTTTCCTCTGATCGTTAAAAAAAATAGAGAGACGCGCCGGAGTCAGGCATCGAACCCACGCACGTCTTGGACACAAACCCTCATGCTGCTTCTACTGATGGTACCGCTGCTGATGCTACTGATGCTGCTGATGATATTACCGATGTTGCTGATGCGCCTGCTGCTAATGATGCTGTTGCTACTGATGGTACCGCTGCTGTTGCTGATGCTACTGATGCTGCTGATGATATTACCAATGCTGCTGATGCGCCTGCTGCTAATGATGCTGCTACTACTAATGGTACCGCTGCTGCTAATGATGCTGTTGCTGCTGATGCTCCTGTTGCTGCTACTGCCGATGCTGTGTGTAGATTGTCCGGCGCCCCGCGCCGTGACCCCATCGAGGAGGAGCTCCCAGTGCGCGACTGACCCCCAGTTGCCTGCAACTCCGCGTCTCGCGCAACTCGGGAACGAGCCACGCGGAGCCGCCGCCTTCAATTGAAATACAACGAACCGCCTCATTTACATAATTGGCTCTGGTGAGACCTCCCGGGACAAGGGATTGCGATGTGGGTGGGGGGTGAGGGGGATTTCGGGGAGAGGAGGGGTTGTGGGGGGGGGGGTTGTGACCCCCCTCCGCCGCCACCACCACCTCCTTCCCCACCTCCCCTCCCCTCCCCACTCTTCTCTCCACGATCCACAGTTTGTCTTAAACGCCCTAATTATAAATGTGACCCGAACCACGATTCTCTCACGAACCTCCTTTCCCTCCCCCCTCCCCCCTCCCTCCTCCTCCTCCGCCTCCCCTCTCCCCCCCTCCTCCTCCTCCTCCTCCAGCAGCAGCATATTTACGATGTCAACAAAGCGAACACGAGATCAACTGTGGTGGCCGTCTCCCGCTCCTGCCACAGGAACGTGTAATTTCAACGAGTGGGTTCAATGCTCGCAGCCCCATGCTCGCATGGGCTAGAGTCATTTGACTGCGACTCCCACGGTCCCACGGTCCTACGGTCCTACGGTCCGTCGCCTCCGAATCCTACACTAACGCGCACCGACCCGCGTGGTGAAGTATGGCCAATGATTCCAGCGAAGCCCGCAACGGTCGTATCTGTACGCGCTGGCTTACTCGGGGCCACAACACACGCATGGTCCATAGAACAAAATACCCCCTCCCCTCTCCTCCATCCCTCCCTCCCTCCACCTCTACCCCCCCCCCCCCACTGCCCCTCTGTAGCCCCACTCAACGTCATTATCGAGGAGCTGTTGAGAAACCTTCGCCTCCACGCTGCCGCGCGCGCACTTGGCTCGCCACGTGAGACGAAGGCTCGCAGGGCGCGCGTGGCGCTGCTGTTCGACCGCCGGTTGACTCATCGTCACGTCCCCGTGGTGGCCTCCACAGGCGCCGCTCGCTGACAGCATTTGCCCTCCGACAGTCTGTTGCAGGCTACACGGGGCATCTTTGTCTTTGGAGGCTTGCAGCTTATGCTGGCCTCAACGTTTGGGGGTTTACGGGCCTCCTCCAGCCTGCGAGCCGTCGCGGGCGAGAAATCAGAGCCACGGAAACAGCGAAACTACGCTACGGTCAAAAGACGAAACGATTTGCCATAGAGCAGTGGTTCTTAACAGGTCTTCGTGGGTGGTGGAGTCACTCTTCCCCGTGGGGTGTGAGGAGGGAACGTCGATCCAGGGGGGCATCCCTCACTAGAGGCGCCGCGCCAGCGCGTGTGCGCTGGCGACCGTCTAGGTCGACTCGGCCTCAAACGAGTACATGGGTGCGCTGTGTCGTAAACATCGCCAGCGGGGGAGACAAAGGCGGCCGGGCGTGGTGCTGGCCGCCCACCGCCTACGTGTATCGTTCCGGCCTTCACGGGTGCTACTCGCAAACAGCACTTGCCCCAACAGTCTGTTGAGGCTATACAGGAGATCTTTGGCTTTTTGTGTGATGGGGTGTGATTCTGTGTGTGTGTGATGGAGTGTGATTGTGTGCGTGTGTGATGGGGTGTGAATGTTTGTGTGCGTGTAATGATGGTGTGTGATGGGTGTGTGATGGTATGTTATGGGGTGCGATGGTGTGTGATGAAGGACAATGACATCCAATCACCATCTCACCCAGCCTCTCTCTGCGCCTCCGCCCTCTCCCCTCTCTCTCTCCCCCGACCGCCACCCTCCCCAAATCTCTACCCTCCCCCCCCCTGCGCCACCCACTCCCACTCTCCTCTCTCATTCACTTTCTCTTGCTCGCTCCTCTTCCCGTCTCATTCATTCCCTCTCCCTCCCCTCCCCCTCCTCCACCTCCTCCACCCCTCAACTCTGCCTCTCTCTCCCTCTATCTTCACCCCTCCCCTCTCTCCATTCTCCACCCACCACCGCCCTCCAATGCTATCCACCCCCCCCCCCATCTCCCCCCACGTGCCTAATGTACCCGGGGCCGCTTCGGCTGCGATAAACGTGACGCATTGGCCGTGAGGACGTGTAGCAGCAGCAGCCTCACGCGCACGTGCTCGCTCTCACACAGCACAGACAAAGACCCCCCCCCACCCCACCCCGCCCAGTAGAGACCAACACGCTGCTGTGGCAAGTGCTGTTAGCGAGCGCCTACGATGGCCAATACGCGACACGATGAGGTGGTGTTGCCAGTGCTAGGCCGGACTCCATTGTTTCCCCCCGTTGCTGATTTACGCATCGCACCGGATGCTCTTTTTAAGGCTGGGTGGACCTAGAGGAGGCCCGGTACTAGTTCGGATGTTCGTCCTTTCACGAGCCACCTCCTCCACAGAGGCCGATCTTGACACTGCTGTTACCAGGCTTCGGCAAGTCCACAGCTCCACAGCCTCCTGTACCGCATCAGTCCACCTCTTCTCTAGCCTGTGTTGTGCCCGTTTAGCCCCCTCTCTCCGGCCGAACAGAAGCTGATGGGCAGCGTGCGGTGGCTGGTCATGCGGGCTACGTGACCCAGCGCAGCCTTGATCTCGCTGATGGGACTTTGTCCAGATCTCTCAAGGATATGTGAGCTCCTCACACAATGCAGCCTGATTAAACCCAGGAAGGATCGTAGTCATGCCAGCCTGAACGTTTCGAACCGGCCCAGATGTTCATTTAAATCTGAGAGCATGACCGTGGCCGAGAAGACCCGAAGCTTCGTGTGGAGCGACAGATCAGGTCGCTTCCACGCAGCATTACCTAGCCGATCACAATATAATGCCGCTCGACTGATTCGGAGTGAGACCTCTGCTGCCAAACCTCACTGCCTGGGTACATGGCACTGGGTTCCCCTCCACTTAAGTCATGGGGAGTTAAAGGGGGGTGGACACCCCCCTATAGTTGAGGTAAGTGGAGTGGTTGATGGCACAACATACCCAGGCAGGTGTCTCGCTTTGGTGGGGCTGATGGTAAGGCCTCTTGAGTGGCACGCTCCAGGTTCAGCAGCAAACTCCTTCGCAGAGTAAGCAGCAATCACCGGATCGTCAGCATACATAGCATGGCTGTCAAAAATATATGTTAAATAATGTTGGCCGCGAGCAGGGAATCGAGCCCGGGTTCGGAGCGCAGCGCGCTAACCGCTACACGTACACACGTGGACACAGACGCAAGGATGATGATGATGATGCTCATGATTATTCTGCTGTTGCTGATGGTGGTGCTGCTGCTGTTGCTGCTGCTGCTGATGATGGTGGTGGTGATTTAGGCGCGGTAATAATCAGGCGACGTAGGAGGGCAATGGGAATTATTAAGCTCTGACTGTGCAGGAGACCCGGTAAATTTGTGCAATAATTGCTGAGATTACTCATTGTGAACAAATAAACAGGCACGTGCACTCACACACACACACATAAATAATGAGATCCCCCGTATAGCCTTAACAGACTATTCTAGATTTGAAGCTTTCGTGACTGCAAGGATTCATATTCTTAGGTTTTTTCGGCAAAGTCACGTATGTAAAAATTTTTAATTAATAAAAGTTAAATAAAACAATTATTTTGTTTTATTTTACTTTTATTAATTTAATTTTTTACCTACGTGACTTTACCGAAAAAACCTTAACAGACTGTTGGGGCCACGTGGTGTTCGTGAGGACCGATGAAGGCCGGCACTGCACACGAGGGGGGCGGGTGACCAGCACCACGCCCGACCGCCTTCGTCTTTCCAGTGGCGATGTTCACACATTACACCAGGTACTTAATTGAGGCTTACAAACTCGTACAGAACACACACACACACAGGCCTGTACAGAACACACACACCCTCCGACAGAACAAAGACAAAGAGCTCCCGTATAGCCTGTAACAGACTGTTGGGGCAAGTGCCGTCAGCGAGCACCTGTGAAGGCCGGCACAGCACACGAGGGGGGTGAGTGACC